CTTAGCTGTTTTCTCTTTGTTCTCTCTGTAGTTTAATTTTGTTAATGATGTGAACTAGAGATTTAATTTTATGTTTTACCAAATGAATAGCCAACACTATGTATTGTCTGTTGTATTTTGCTTATTATAGTATATGGTATAAATTAAATATACAAGCTGGGCGCGGTGGCTCACGCCTGTAATCCCAGCACTTTGGGAGGCCAAGGCGGGTGGATCACCTGAGGTCAGGAGTTCGAGACCAGCGTGGCCAACATGGTGAAACCCCATCTCTACTAAAAATACAAAAATTAGCCGGGCATGGTGGTGCGCGCCTGTGCTCCCAGCTACTCAGGAGGCTGAGGTAGGAGAATCGCTTGAACCCAGGAGGCGGAGGTTGCAGTGAGCTGAGATAGCGCCATTGCACTCCAGCCTGGGTGACAAAATCGAGATTCCATTAAAAAAAAAAATTAGCCGGACAGTGGTGGCGGGTGCCTGTAGTCCCTGCTACTCTGGAGGCTGAGGTAGGAGAATTGCTTGAATCCAGCGGGTGGAGGCTGCAGTGAGCCGAGAACGCGCCACTGCACCCCAGCCTAGGAGACAGAGCGAGACAACGTCTCAAAAAAAATAAAAATAAAAATAAAAATAAATTAATTAAATATACGATAATTATATACTTTAGAATATATAATTATAGAACATATAGAACTATGATAGATAATTATATATTTTATTTATAAACTATATATTTTATATGATATTTATATATATTTTTAGACATACGAAGCTTTTATTTGTATTATAAAGTTTTAGCAATTCAAAAATATGGTATTAATCATGAAAGAAAAATAAAAGAATGGGACAGAATTAAGACTTTAGAAGCATACATGTAAATTTGGTATACAATACACAACATCATATGTGTGTCTATAAATAAAATACATTTTATTAATTATAATTATGTATTATATAATTGTAAGCACTTGAACATATATGATCTATATTATATAATTATAGATCATAGTTCTATGATATGTTCTATAATTATATATTATATAATTATAGATCATAGTTCTATGGTATGCTCTATAATTATATATTATATATTTTTATATATTTATTTATTATATAATTATATATTATATATTATATAATTATAGATCATAGTTCTATGATATGTTCTATAATTATATATTATAAGGTATATAATTATTAACTGTATATTTAATTTATACCATATACTATAATAAGCAAAATATACATATATGTTTTAAATCTGGTAGGTGATATCTTGACTCACTGGTTTTATTTGTTTTTCTGACTTTCTTTTTGTTCGTTTTGGTTTTTAGTTGCTGTTGTGTTTACTTCAAAATTTTTCTTATCTGTCATTGTTCATTGAACCAGACATTTTTATTAAAAGTATTTTAATATTTTTTTCTGTCTCATTAGTCTGTGCTTTTATCCATATTAAGTCAATTAATTTTGGACTTATTTCGTTGTTTTATTTTCTAGCTTCTTGAGTTGAAAGTTTAGTTCACTCTTTTTAAGGATTTTTCTAGCAAATGCTTAGAAGTGTATACAGTGTCCTCTGAGAACTGCTTTGGCTACAACCCACAGGTGTGCCATGTGGCTCTCAATATAATTCCTTGCTGAAGAAATTTTTACTTTTCATCTTGATTTTTTTAATCCGAGGAATTATCTGGAGCCCTGTTTTTAAATTTCCAAATTTATTTTGGCTAGTTTGTTTTTAATGTCTAATTTCGGTTTGCCTTTAGTTATGTGTTGAGCCTATAACATTTCTGCTTTGGTATTTATTGCGATATTCTTTGTTGCCTTAAAATCAGTTTGAAAAGCTGTCCCATGTGTGTTTGAAAATAACTTATGGTTTTGCTGTATAGAAAATGTGTGTCTTTTGCTATATAGACACAAGTTTTCGATACATTTATTAGACCAAATTTGTTAACCCTCTTATATAATCTATATTCTTTCTTATTTTTGGTCTACTTGACATCTAGTTTGAGGAAGGAAGCTAAAGTCTTCTACTGTCATTGTGGTTTTAACAATTTCTTCTCATATTTGGATTATTTTTTGGTTTTTACTTTTCCAGGCCATGTTATTATATGCATAAACATTTATTTTCTTCAGTCATAGATCATGTAAACCAGAAGTAAATATCAAATAAACCAAATCTTTCCTCTATGAAACAACCGAACAACTCTCTGGTCACTTTCATCCTTTCAACATAAATTCTATTTTTTATTATTAATTTATCTTCTTTCTTTTTTGTTAATATTTGCCTGAAGCTTCTTTTCAAAATCTTTTTTGTTTTTGACCGTTGCTTGTGTTAGGTGTCTCTATTATATTAGAATATAGCTACAAGGTCCTTTTTTTCTTTTTTAGACAGAGTCTCTCTCTGTGCCCAGGCTGGAGTGCAGTGGTGTGATCTTGGCTAACTACAACCTCCACCTCCTGAGTTCAGGCGATTCCCTGTCTCAACCTCCCGAGCAGCTGGGACTACAGGTGCCCACCACCACACCTGGCCAGTTTTTTTGTATTTTTTGTAGAGATGGGGTTTTGGCATGTTGGCCAGGCTGGTCTTGAACTCCTAGCCTCAAGGGTTCCACCCGCCTCAGCCTCCCAAAATGTCTTAAAGATAAAATTTCATATCTTATGAGTGCCTTGAACCCATTCACATGTAATGTGGTTGATGATATACTTACTATCTTAACGCATGTGTTTTATTTATTGTGCTTATGGTTGAAAACCATCTTCTTCATCTCTGGATCATCAGAGTCAACCAGAGGGCTTGGCTCCAAACAGTAGGTATTCGCCAAATGCTCATTGAATAAAAATGTCCTTGATCCTCTAACTCTGATTTGATTTGAGAAACAACTTATGGCAAACAGCTCAGTTGTAATGGGGTTGGGACTAAAATTCAAGTTACTGTTGAAAGACGTTTCAAGAAGTGTTTAGGTTATATTATTAAATATTAGACACCTTCTGTTTATATAGATTTAACATAGAAAGATTTTAAGTTTTCTGTATATGTGAGGTCTCGTAGTAGTTCCTGCTGAAAGTGACAGGGGTGCGGGGATAAGGGTCAAGACAGTATCTCAGGACTGGAGAAGGAAAGCTAAGATATTGTCTCTACCAGCCATACTCCTCATGAGCATGCGCATGGAAGGACATTTCCCAGCCAAAGTGAGTCCCTTTATTTGTTTTAGTTTCAGATTTGAGTCTCAGATTTCTTTGTAATTCCAGCTGCATCTACCAAAGTGCTAGATAATTTTTTTATTTTAAGCAAATAATATTATGGGAACATTATCTTTATTGCAAAGTGCTCCTCCAGAAGAGCCGCTATGCTGGATAAAGACCAACATTTAATTAAGGTTATGTAAGAGTGACATCAGGATGGCTTACAACCCCATTAGCCATTATTTTCTTACTTTAATTGACAAAGAAATTGAAAAAATAAAAGAAGCATATGTTGTGCTTGAATGTGAAGAGTACTAGACTAGAATCAAAGGCCTCTCAGATTTTTGGCTGTGTCATTTGGGCTCATGAAAAGACCTCTGGAATTCTCTTTCAATGCAAAGGAGCTGGACTAGTTGATCTCTCAGGTTTCTTCCAACTCTAAAATATTTCCAGTCTGTGCCTTGGAAACATCTTATGTCAAACTCTAGTAACAGTTAACCTAATTGGCACCCTTAAAATTCTGCCTTGAGCTGCTTACAACTCAAAACAAGTTTATCTTACTCAGTTTTTAATTATAAACCATCCAGATTTCAGAACCGTGAGTACTGGTTGAAGCATTGAGGTATGCTTTTGAAGACATTACATATGGCAGTTACTGAGCTGAAAGGATTAAATGCTGCAGCTTCCCCAGTTGCTCTTCCTCCATGAGAGCGGTGCCTGCCCCCAGCATTCTGTGGCACTTGGAAGACAAGACAGAGGCCAAATGCAGCTTTTTACCCTGGGCTTCCCTCTACAGTGTGGAACTCAGGTTGCTTCTTCTTTCCTCCCTGAAATGACATGAATTTGCAGCAGATGGTGAACTGAAGAAATCATAGGAGGCACTGTCTTCTTGCCTGAATTTCAGTTGGAAGCTTGGAGATTTGGGGTTCAACAGAGATAAGGAATTGTAAGCCTTCATCCCGTCTGGTGGTTTGTGATCACACACCGCTCTGCGCTGAGGCTAATGGCCATGATCAGAGTTTCCAAAAAAAAAAAAAAAAAAAATACAGGTTTCCCAGGCAAATGGATTTCCATACCTATGGAGAGCATACCTTTCTTTATCAGTATTTTCTTCCATTCTTCTAAAAAATTAGTTTGCGCTCTAACAGCCATTCCCATGATCTTTACCTCTCCTTGGGGAATGCAGATAATTTGAACAGTGGTTTTAAACTATTTTTCTTGGAATGCAGAAGTTCCGATAAGCTCTTCAAAGACCCCTGAGGGCAAGAAGAGGGAAGGCAGTAGGCAGGGCTCAGGCCCTCTTTAACACAGACACGTGTACACAAATAACACATTTGCACCAACACTGGAAGGAAATTCAATATATTTTAAAATGACTTTAACTCCTAGTTGTGGAACTATAGACATTTTTTTACAGCCCTTCCCTAAATGTTCATATGTGTTTTATATATATGTGTGTGTCATGTATTTGTATACGTGTATGTACACACATATAGAAACACATACATATATGTGCATATTTGTACATATAGGTATATAAATATGTAACGTGTACATATCAGTACATATGTGTGTGTATATGTATATATTGGTACATATATATGTATGTATATATGTATATATTTTTTCCTCCAATAGAAACTGAAATAAAGAAAGACTTTTTAGATTGTGAAAGTAAATTGAGTTCTGCTAAGGAAAAAGGGCTTCTGCTTCTGCTGCCTGTGAGGACTGTGCTGTCAGCAGTCACCGCCCCTCAGGCCCTGCACCTCGAGGCAGAGCCCTCCTCCAGCCGTGGCCAGCTCTCCTAACCAAGTGTCTCTTTTCCCCAGAATGGCTGCAGTCTGTCCAGGCCACGATGATCCTGTCGATCATCTTCAGCGTTCTGTCTCTGTTCCTGTTCTTCTGCCAACTCTTCACACTCACCAAGGGGGGCAGGTTTTACATCACTGGAATCTTCCAAATCCTTGCTGGTAAGTTGTGGATGGTAAAGTCCGTGTGGAAGCGGGGCCTATCCAAGTCTGTGGAATGATTAGTTTAGTGGAAGGATGTGGCCTCAGAATGGCTGATGTTCATGAGTCTCCCCATTGGATGCTTTCCATAAAGCGAGTGTGGGTGCTTGTATGTGTGGGTGTTTATGTATATGTGTCTTAGAACTTGGGACTTAGAACTCTCTTCTTTTCCCTGGAATGAGATGCATATGAAAGAGAACTTAGAGGATCTGAAAGGAAGGTCCCCACCCAAGCCAGGCGTATCACCAAGAATGAAACGGCAATCTGGACACATAATCAGAGGTGAATACTGAGGCTATCCATAGTGCAAAGGTCAGGCTCGAGAGCTGTTTCCTGTAGATTACATTATGCCTCCGGAAAATGGCTAAGAACTGGCAAAGTTGTTATCAGGTATGTGTATTCTACCAGTAGGTAGTGATGAAGTCACACTGACATTCTCACCTTCCTTGCTTCCAGTTCCTAGATTCCACTGGGCTTTGATTGACTGTTGTCATCCTCTGATATCTTCATTTTGGTGTTCTTGTGTTACATATTGTCATTTCCAAACATGGGGCCATGACAACACATGAAAACACATGAGAGGTCTCCTTAATCTCCTCCCCAAACTGTCTTCAATTTCCCTCATTAAATACGTTTTAAATATGCACGGTGTGCAGAACCTAGAAACTTCTATTACACAGGGTGACATCTTCCAACTTTTTTCTGGATTCTGCCTAGCATCTTGCTCCATTAGCTCTTATATGTCTGTCTGTTGACTTACTGTTGACGGAGCCAGCAGGGCATTGGACAGAAGTAAGAGCCAGATGTAGTGGTGGATTCCGTGGTCCAAATTCATGGATCACAAACTTCATATGTACCAGAGTATGTCTAGGTACTGTGAGATGTTCTCAATTCTGACCCTCTGAGAGGGCAAAGGATGTAACATCTCTTCTCTGAGCTGGTTGTCAGAATGCCTGTGGTACCATTTTACCACCCTGTGCTCAGGAGCAGTCATTGGAAGGTTGAAAGCAGCCCATGTGTTTTTGATGGATATAATGCCTTAAATAGGGTTGTATGGGAAGACACAGCCTGAGGTTAGAGTTGGTGACCTTGTCTAGAAGCCAGAGAGTTCCCCTTTCCTGAAAAAAGGAAGTGAATGATTAACCACTTCTCATTAAATACTTAAATACAACATTTCAATACTCACGGTTTTGAGATTTCAAAACCAGACAGTGCTTTGCTACTTACCCATGTCTTCTGACACCAAGCCAAGCTCCTGGATGGTTGCCGGCTCTGTTAAATGACTAATTATGCAAGGAGATATCATTTCTAGGTACGTTAAAGTGAAGAGTTATCCTTACTCACTCAATTTTCAGTTGTAATAAAGACAACTGTAACATATTCTGGGGTTTTTTTTTTTTGCTTACTTGTTTTAATTTGATATCAAATCAAATAATGATCATATCCATTGCATCAGTGGATATGCCCTCAAGATAATATGGATTTAGAACCAGAAGTTTCATAATGTATTTATATTGAAATGTTAGTTTCATAAGCGATGACTGGGTTTTCATGCTCATGTGTGAGATGTGCCTCCCTCAAACCTTGTTATGATGTTGGCACATTACCCGTCTGATGTGAAAAAAAATCACATTTTATTTGTACAGGCTCATTATTCTACTGATGAATAATTTGAGCCCACCAGAGGGTAAATGAATGCCCAAGGTCACCCAGTTCATGACAGGGATGAGTGAGTGTTACGCTGAATATAGTGAGGTACTTCTCCTTATATTTTAAAGACAGAATCCACCAAAAAATTTAAAGAACACAAAATCCAAGGCAGAAGCTCTGGCTTTTATATTATCTTTTATTGGAACTGATTTACAGTGCAAGGTAAATGCAAATTTGCATCATGTATTATTCTGAAGTTCCAAACATCTGTGATGAATACAAGCCTGTAGCATAAGACCCAGTCACACTGAAAATATGGAGCCAAGAAGAAGCAAGCTGCTGTTGAACGGGCTCCTTGGGTTAGCTAGTACCTTCATCTTCATTCATCCTGCTGAGCTGTCTCGGCTTTAAGTCCTTTAGCAATGTTTTTCTAGCAACATCATTACATCATTTTAGGCCAAAACTCAAAGTCCAGAGATAAGAACACTTAGGTCACTCATGTAACTGCACTGTGTGTTAAAAGTATTTCAGTTCAGCCAAACACTCTTCTAGGTATTGCAATTTAAGTACGTTTACTAATCCACTCTTGCTTCACTATCTTCATTCTCCTCCCAAGTCAATACAAGATGTTTAGAACTGTGCTGGAAGTGCAGAATTCCGAATGTAAAAGCACATGACTTTGTCCTCTTTATCCCCTTTACATTTAGCTGCTTACCTCTCATGAGACTGAATTTTCAGTTATCTGTTGGTCCACATTTGAATAGGAAGTTATCTTGAATTTGAAATGCTGAGCTGTAATAGCAGTTGTATTTTGTAAGTCCGGAGAGTGTCCTGTCCTCCGTTGTTAATCCCAGTCAATGTCCTCTGAGAGTTGGTCTCCAGGGAACCTCAGATCTCTAGGATGTTGCACTGGAAATGGTTGCAGGGTCTTTCCACTAATGCTGAGAACTGAAAGAGTTCGGAACTCTACTTGGAGATTTCCTGGTTCTCTTATCGTGTGACAGTTCTAAGTCAATTTTATCATGTGGTTTTCTGACTCACAGACTAGTAAGAAGTTAGTAATTAAAGAGCTAATTAGAGTAGGGTTGTTGGAGATGAGAAACTCAGGTTTTGGGAAAACCTGGGAAGGGACAACTTAACGTCAATGAAATAGTTAGAAAAGCTAAAACTGACAAACAGAAGGAAAGAAAAGAAAGAAGGGAAAGAAAGAAAGAAAGAGAGGGAGGACAGAAGGAAGAATAAAGTAGCTCCACACTCATGGGATGTAAAATCTACGAGTGTGCATGCCCGGCAAATGCCTGTCCAATGCACTGGAGCATTTTAAGTGAAAACCACTAGAATCTCTGTGTAGTCTCCGGAAGTGGCTATTATGGGCTGCATTATCTCTGCACAGCTTCCTCTTGGTGGACCCAGCTGTGGTCTTTATGGATGGCACACATGAGCTTTCAGGAAAGCACATGAAAGACGTTAGGGGTCTTGGAGCTGACTGTAGGTTTGGGAGTTGTCTCTGTCTCCTTGGTCTAGATTACAGCTCTGGGTGTCGTGTGGGGTCTCCATGGTTTGCCAAATCATCTCTTCCTTACTTAGCCACCAGGCTCACAGTTAGGAACTATCTCTTCTTGATTGCATTAGGTTGGCTGCTTCTTAAATGCATATCAAAAGCCTCCTTCCTTTAGTTCAGTGCTTTCAACCTCAGCAGTGCATCAGAATCACCTGAGGTCCTTTTTTTTATTAAAAAAGTGACAGTGGGCTGGGCGTAGTGGCTCACGCCTGTAATCCCAGCACTTTGGGAGGCTGAGGTGGGCAGGTCGCTTGAGGTCAGGCACTCAAGACCAGCCTGGCCAACATGGTGAAACCCTGTCTCTACTAAAAATAAAAAAAAAACCCGGTGTAGTGGTGCGCACCTGTATTCCCAGCTACTTGGGAAACTGAAGCAGAGGAGAATCACTTGAACCCAGGAGGTGGAGGTTGCAGTGAGCCAAGATTGTGCCACTGCACTCCAGCCTGGGTGACAGAGTGAGACTGTCTCCAAAAAAAAAAAAAAAAAAGACAGTATTCAGGCCTCATCCCTGGAGACCCATTTAATAGTTCTGGGATAGATACACTGCCTAGGTGACTCTGACGTGCATTTAGGGTTGGGAACCACTGACATAGCCATTAAACTGTCCCTAATCCCACTGTGAGGTTTTCTAGGATATTTCCCCAGAAATAGCTAAACCAACTTCTTAGAGAAGGAACATCCTGATCCTGTGTCTGGACTTTGGAGTCATTCTTATTTTCAGAACCTATAGCCATCTTTTCCTAGACAGTAGTTATCCGTGCCTTAGCTCTGTTGGGTTGGGTCACACTAGACTGGAAAACATCTAGAAATTAACCTAGACACAGACCTAAAAGGAAGATTTGCACGTTTTGATTTATTTCACTGCTTATACCCAGCATCAAGCTCCATGTGGGGCACATAGAGGAGCCTGAATAAAACTATTGGTTGGATGATTAGATAATTGTGTTTTCTTGGCAGAATCAGACTCAAGTCAAATGTGTAGTTAGTGGGATTAAGAACAGAAAGAGTAGAGGGCACTCGTGAGTGAGTTTCACTTTCTCTTTTTGTTATTGTTGTTCATTTGTTTTGTTAATAGAAAGATCAATATAGCTATAGAGCATTTAGAATAAAAGGATTTGGGACAGATGTGGTGGCTAATGCCTGTAATCCCAACACTGTGGAAGACTGAGGCGAGAGGATTGCTTGAAGCCAGGAGTTCGAGACCAGCCTGGGCAACAAAGCGAGATGCCATCTCTACAAAAAATGATTTAAAAATTAGCCGCGTGCCTTGGAGCACGCCTGTGGTCCCAGCTATTCAGGAGGCTGAGGGAGGAGGATTGCTTGAATCTGGGAGGTCAAGACTACAGTAAACTGTGATCAGGCCTCTGTGCTTGCTCCAGCCTGGGTGACAGAGTGAGACCCTGCCTCTCTAAAAAAAAAAAAAAAGAATTTGGTGGGGGGAATTAATAAAAGTTCAGTGCCATCCTGTTCACAGTGATTCAAAGATGGCTTATGTAGAATACCACATTTAGACATTTTTGTTAGGGGTAAATGATTATGGATGTCTCATTGGCCATGCCCAGATCAGAGTCAATGCTATGGGTGGCTTTGTAGGCAGCAATGGTCACTCGATACCGAAAATGAAAAAGGAGTGGGCTTCAATCACAGAAACACAGAGAAGCTTCTTGCTTTCAGAGGAACAGGCCTCACAGCCCCTTCCTGCCCTAGCTTATTGCCCTGAGGATGAAGTGGGAGGGAGACAGAGGCACCCACTCATCAACCCAACATCATAGCTGCACCTTCCAGTGACCACCCCGGTGGTCTCACTGACATCCCTTTCTAACCAACTTCTCTCTGGCTTCTGCCCCAGGCTCTCAAATGAAAGTGCTTTTGCTGAGGTTACCAAAGTACACTTTGAAGTCTTTAATTTGTTGGATCACTCTGCTCCTTTCAATACTGTTAGCTACTCACTCTTTGAAGCTTTATTCCCCTGGCTTCTGAGACATCGCCGTGTTCCCACTTGCCTGAGTGAACACACCAGGCGGTCGTGCTGGCCTCTCTTCTATCCCTCGCCCCACAGTCAGCCTTCTACTGAGTCCTGTGTTTGGTCAGCATCCTCCGTAGGCATTACACTCATTTCTTTTGTCTTGACTCACTAACCCCAGTGCAGCTATGCAAAGGCCTCCACATGCGCCTTCCAGCTGCCTGCCTTGTCCCTGCCCGTGAATCCATTTTCTGCACTGTGGCCAGAGTGATCATTCTGAAACATGCATCTGATCATGTTTCTCCTCTGCTGAAGCTTCCTCAGAGGCTTCTCATCACAACTTCCTTAACATGTCATGTAAGGTCCTCTCTTTCCTGACCCTTAGTGAGCTATCAGCCTATTATATGAGAGTCCGTGTGGCTTCTCCAGTTCCCCAGTATGGACTCAGTGCCCGTCTATGCTCTTGGGGCATCTGCTGCATTTCCTTCCCTCTCTTGAAATTCCATCGGACGATCTCGAAATTATATGCAAATGTCTGTCTTCTAGACACACAGTCCTTAAGGTAGGAGCCACGTCTCACTTACCTTGGTGCATCTAGAACAGCAGCTAGAAGAGTGCCCGCATGCAGTAGGCACTCATTAAATGTTCACTGAACCAAAGGGAGTGGAGATGATAAAGATGTACTGGGAATTCCCTCGGCTGCTTCCTTTGACCTTGGCTCCTTGGGTGCTCCCTTCCAAAAGCTCTGGGCTCTAATCACTCACGTGGAGTTGCAGTCACTGTTAAAGGAGCTTAAGACTTTCTCTTCAAAGGGGCTTTAGGGAGAACTTGCAGGAAGTTGTTGCAGACCTAGCCATCCTGAGACAGGGAGAAACTCTTGTAAGTTGAATGCCCAGCGCACATTTGTGTTGTCTGGACAGGGTCAGTGTCCTTCTGCTTAAAGCCGACCTATGCTCCCAGACTCAGGCCCCTCCCAGGGAGTCCCGGTCATTGCCAAAGAGCAGAACATCTGCCTGTGCCTCAGGGCCTCACTTACCCTTGCCACGGGGACCTGGTGATGCATCTCCACCTACTGGTTGCTGAGAAAGTGAGTGACAATCCACTTATTAGGAGGACTATTTGGCTTTTGGAGATGACCACTGGATGACATTAACTGCATTGGGTTGGAGACAGCAGGAACCCAGCCAAAGAATCATTCTTCTCTCTTTCAGTGTGCATCTATTGCTTTACATGCAGACAATCTCGTAATAATATATTCCCTAAAACATCAGTCTCCTGACAACAATCATATCAAGTGTGTATCCTCTCTTTGGCTTTGTAGGTATCTGAGTTTACTGCTTATCACAGTTCAGCTTAGAGTCATTCACTGCTGAGATTCTACTAAGATGAGAGTCATACACATTAAACTGTGTAGTCACTGCACTTCTGTATATTGCCTCTTTCTGTCCCTCTTGTTCAAGGATGGAATCTGATATTTCCTCTTAGCCAGTGAAATCGGGGAGTAGCTGGTCCATTCAGCTCCCGAGGCATTTCTCATGCCAGATCTGGTTAGACAGCCCATTTGGGAGCCCTGCCTGCATGATAGTAAGTGTTGTCCTGCCCTGCTAGCACTCTGTTAACACCTTGCTCTCTGCCAAGATCATACTTCCTTTTTTATAGCCCTGCCCTCATTAGATAAATCAGACAGAGCCCAAGAGACAACTTCAGTATTTCTTTCTTTTTTTTTTTTTTGAGACGGAGTCTCGCTCTGTCGCCCAGGCTGGAGTGCAGTGGTGTGATCTCGGCTCACTGCAACCTCCGCCTCCCAGGTTCACGCCGTTCTCCTGCCTCATCCTCTCGAGTACCTGGGACTACAGGTGCCCGCCACCACGCCCGGCTAATTTTTGTAGTTTTAGTAGAGACGAGGTTTCACCATGTTGGCCAGGATGGTCTCAATCTCCTGACCTCGTAATCCACCCACCTCAGCCTTCCAAAGTGCTGGGATTACAGGCGTGAGCCACCGTGCCTGGCCAACTTCAGTATTTCTTAAAGACAAGAGTTAGCACTTTGGAGAGACAAGCCATGGAAGAGTGGGACAAGATAATTAAGGATCCTGGACCTCAAGGCAAATAAAGTGTGTCCCCAGCAGATCAAAACTGCTGTTTTCCTCAATCAACAATTAACCAGCGATGATTTTGCTCCTGACATGGCCATCTTTGCCGTTTTCTGAACTTCCTGTAGGTGGCAGGTCCTGGATGCTGTCCCATCTTGGTTCCAAGACTATTGTATGGCTCTCTTGACGGGGGCCAATCAAGCGGGAGTCTTCTCCTCTGAGTTGCAGGGGGACAGGCTTAACAGGGTGGTTCCTGTGGCGTATTCCCACTTCTGTACTGTCCTCAAACAAAGTTGCAGTGTCCAGTAAAACAGCAGCCCAAATAGCAGTGAGGTTAGATGTAGGTGGCCGGGGGGCGGGTGCATTGGGAGCTCTGGAACTGCGTGAATCCCACACGGCATACTGGATTTATAATAGAGTCACTCAGAGCTTCTCAAAGACCCTGTTTTCAGGGAGGAAACAGACCAGGCTTTGTGCAGCTCCAGGCTGGGGTGCTGACGTCACTGGACCCCTCCTCGTGGGGGAGCACTGACTGTCACGTGGGCTGGGGCCATCAGTTTGAGCATGGCTGCTCCACAGGGCCCAAGGTGGAGGTCTTTCTTCTCTTTCCCACACCGAAGGGCTGCACTGGTGGGCCAGGGAGGGTCGCTTGACCCGCCTGCGTATCCAATGCCCTTTAGCCTTCTTTGGGCTTCAGATGCAACCTTGGGACACCCAGGGAAATAGAGCTTGCCTTTGATCATTTTCCCCCTCCACAGCGTGACTTCTCGCTCGTACTGTCTGCTGTGTCCTCATCTCTTCCTCACTTTCTTTTTTCTCCTCCACACATTTCTTTGTCTGTTTGGCAGTGTCCACAGTCTTTGCTTGCTTCACCTGGTACGTGGCAACGCTGCTAGGGGGACCATAGGCCCCTGTGGTCTGCATGGAGCTTAATCCTTTTACCATGGCCTGACTCCAATAGTGGTAAAATGTCACTTCACTTCCATTGGCTTCAGATAATGCCACTACTCATTTGTAGAGTGGCGCATAGATTTCCAGGGGCTTCCATACCCAACCACCCTTGCAAAGAGACAGGTAGATTTTTCCTGCAGCCTGAATGCCTGCTGGCCATGTAGTGTGGCGTGGGAATTGGTGATAGTTATAGAAAGAGAAATAGGGCAGAAAGGGTAAATAAAACCCTCAGAGATTAAGGCCTGGATGGCCGAGATTGGAAGTAGAGAGCAAGTCATTTTCCTTGTTTCCATATTTTTGAGCTACCTCCTTTCAATTCTGGACCTGGAAGTAGATTTCTTTCCAGAGGTAGAAATGTTCTTCCTATCCAGTGTTTGTCAGCATCTGGGGTGGCGGAGATGGGGCCACTCTACCATGGACTCTCCCTCACCCAGCTTGTCCCTCTCCTCCCCCAGGTCTGTGTGTGATGAGTGCTGCGGCCATCTACACGGTGAGGCACCCAGAATGGCACCTCAACTCGGATTACTCCTACGGCTTTGCCTACATCCTGGCCTGGGTGGCCTTCCCCCTGGCCCTTCTCAGCGGTGTCATCTACGTGATCTTGCGGAAACGCGAATGAGGCGCCCAGACAGTCTGTCTGAGGCTCTGAGCGTACACAGGGAAGGGAGGAAGGGAAACTAGAAAACAGAAAAAAAAAAAAAAAAAAAAAAAAAGAGCTAGCGGAAAATCCCAAACTCAAACCAAACCAAACAGAAAGCAGTGGAGGTGGGGGTTGCTGTTGATTGAGATGTATATAATATCTCCGGTTTATAAAACCTATTTATAACACTTTTTACATATATGTACATAGTATTGTTTGCTTTTTATGTTGACCATCAGCCTCGTGTTGAACCTTAAAGAAGTAGCTAAGGAACTTTACATCCTAACAGTATAATCCAGCTCAGTATTTTTGTTTTGTTTTTTGTTTGTTTTGTTTTACCCAGAAATAAAATAACTCCATCTTGCCCCTTCCTTTTCATCTGAAAGAAGATACCTCCCTCCCAGTCCACCTCATTTAGAAAACCAAAGTGTGGGTAGAAACCCCAAATGTCCAAAAGCCCTTTTCTGGTGGGTGACCCAGTGCATCCAACAGAAACAGCCGCTGCCTGAACCTCTGTGTGAAGCTTTACGCGCACACGGACAAAATGCCCAAACTGGAGCCCTCGCAAAAACACGGCTTGTGGCTTTGGCATACTTGCCCTTACAGGTGGAGTATCTCGGTCACACATCTAAATGAGACATCAGTGACAACAAATCTTTGAAATGGTGCTATGGATTTACCATTCCTTATTATCACTAATCATCTAAACGACTCACTGGAAATCCAATTAACAATTTTACAACATAAGATAGAATGGAGACCTGAATAATTATGTGTAATATAAATGGTTTATAACTGCTTTTGTACCTAGCTAGGCTGCTATTATTACTATAATGAGTAAATCATAAAGCCTTCATCACTCCCACATTTTTCTTACGGTCAGAGCATCAGAACAAGTGTCTAGACTCCTTGGGACCGTGAGTTCCCAGAGCTTGGCTGGGTCTAGGCTGTTCTGTGCCTCCAAGGACTGTCTGGCGATGACTTGTATTGGCCACCAACTGTAGATGTATATACGGTGCCCTTCTGATGCTAAGACTCCAGACCTTTTGATTTTGCTTTGCATTTTCTGATTTTATACCAACTGTGTGGACTAAGATGCATTAAAATAAACATCAGAGTAACTCACTGGTCTCTGTTGAGTTTTTGTGGGGACTTGGGTGTGGGTACAAGGTGCCTTTTGGAGCAGGATGAAGAGCGTCAGTGGAAAGCAAAGTTGAGCTGGAGATTTGGGTTATAGGATGGTGCTAAGGCACCAAAATCATAGCTGTTTTACAAGCTACTATGAGCACATGGTGCCTTCATGATGTCTGTGCAAACGTCTGCTCATTGGAGACAGCTGGGAATTGTAGCTGAAATGGAAGCTGTAAATGGACTGGAAAGAACTTGAGTATTCATTTAGTTCAACCCTTTCTGGTGCGCTGTTGTCTGATGACCCACATGGAAAACATGGAGGCATGTCATGAGCTGTCATGATATACCGGGAATGTTGGCATAAGCATCTCAGATCCCTAACCTTGAGGTATGATATGGTGAAAGGTCTGAATGATGGTGACTTGAGGCCACTCTTGCAGATAAAACATTGGTTGGCACCAACTGAGCTCCTAGTGCCATCCTGAAGGAGAGAAAAGGCCACCATTGTCACCCAGCTCAGGGTTTCTGAGTTGTGTCTCTTGCGTCTATATTTTTACCCATTGACGTTTTATTGTGTGTCTGCAAAATAACAAGCAAATGATGCACTTGATAGTCCTTCATATGTTTTGTGCAGCTATTTTGAATTGGGTGCCAAAGATAAAGAAGGAATGACATATATCTTAACATCGAAAGGTCACATTTTAGTGAGAGGTACAAGTAAACAAGTGACTATATTATAATAGGGTTAAGAGCATAGAAATCAGAGCCTGGGTTTGAGCCTGTCCTTTGCTGATTACCAGCCATAGGAGCCTGAAAAGGTTACTTAAACACTAAGATTCCATTTCCTCATCTGTAAAACAGGGATGCCAATACCAAGGGTATAGGGTTGTGGGGATTTAAAGGAAGTTATATGGATAAACTTGTTCAGCATAGTGACTAGTACCTAGAAAGACTCTTAAGGATTAGAGTGGTTATCACACATGTTACAACAGAGGTGTATTTGTTTTTTTTTTTTTTTTTTTTTTTTTTTTTTTTTTTTGAGACGGAGTCTCGCTCTGTCGCCCAGGCTGGAGTGCAGTGGCCGGATCTCAGCTCACTGCAAGCTCCGCCTCCCGGGTTTACGCCATTCTCCTTTCTCAGCCTCCCGAGTAGCTGGGACTACAGGCGCCCGCCACCTTGCCCGGCTAGTTTTTTTTTTTGTATTTTTTAGTAGAGACGGGGTTTCACCGTGTTAGCCAGGATGGTCTCGATCCCCTGACCTCGTGATCCGCCCGTCTCGGCCTCCCAAAGTGCTGGGATTACAGGCTTGAGCCACCGCGCCCGGCCTAGAGGTGTATTTGAAAGAGCATGAAGGAGAGACGTTGACTGTTATGCAGGATTCTCAGTATCAGTCTGCACATTGGAATCTCCCATACAGGAATTCCCACTAGAGATTTGGATTCCCTGTTTCCATGATGGGACCTATCCCAGACTGTGAGGTTTAAAGAACACTTCTGGTGATTACAGCATGCAAGTGGGGACGACACCTCTGACCTAGTGCAGGAGGCCTCATACTTCAACATGCTAGTGAATCACCTGGGAAATAGATAGCATGCAGATTCTGAAACTTCAGGCCCAGGTGGGGCTTGAGATTCTGCATTTCCAATTAGTGCCCGGGTGAGGTGGATGCTGCTTGTCCACCGACCACACTTTGAGTAGCAGGGGCCTAGCATAAAGCCACCTTCAGGTACCTTGTGCTCTTCTGTCTTCGGGTGTCTGTGATGGCAGGACTTCTCTTTTCTGAGGTTTTCAGTAGTGACCTGCTACTCTGCTTTTGACTCAGATAGTTTTAAGGTGGCACAGGTGGCCATGAGATGCATGTGAGATTAAGAAAACTAGGAATTTTATTTCACAAGCTGATACTTTGAAAACATACACTTTTATTTCATAAACTTTTCTAACATTTCGTTAAAAATTAATATGGATAAGAACAAAGAAGAAAACCAAAAATGGCCCCTTAATCTCCCTACTCAGGTAACACTCTTGGCATTTAAAAAAAAAATATATATATATATATATATCTATCTATCTAGGATTATAACATCCTATCTTGTATCTAGAGGGAAAAATACAATTTGGAAGCCTCTTTCCCACCTACCCACAGTCTTTTGCCAAAGGTAACCATAAGACAGAGTTTCTTATGATTTTTTCCAGGAAAAAAAAATTGCCCACATACGTATATCCATCTATGTACTTTTAAAATGTACACAAAAGTGATCATACTGCTCACACTGTTTTGCACTTTTCATTTAATGATAAAAATTTCAGATCATTCTATACCATTCTATACCAGCATATACCTCATGCTTTTTAGTGAACACTATTTTATTCTTTCAAAATTAGTATTTAATTGTATTGTTGTACAAACCTTTATTTAATATGTTAAATAAAGCCCTCCATTGACAGACATTTTGGTTGTGTCTAGTTTTTATTATTAATCAAAATATTTCTGTGGACATCCTTGTACGTGAATATTGGTGAGTTTTTAAAAGTATGTCCAAATCTTAAATTCCTGGTAAGGATGTTGCCAAAACAAAGGGCATGTATATTTTGAAGAATCTAATAGGTATTTTCAGCTTAGTCTCCAAGAAAATTACACCAAGTCAGATGACAGTCTAGCCTTATATTCTACATGTAATTCATGGAGTCCCCCCAAACAGAGAAGGGTTAGAATAAAACACCTGAGTAGAAACAGCTTATCTGCTATCAGTTCCTTTGGTCATGATTGCTATTGATCTCTTATCTATGGGACAGCTTTGCTTCCTTGGGAACCTGTCTGCCTTGAGGACCTGCAATGATAGAAGGGACATTATACTGATCCTCCACAAACAACAACACAAAATTATAAAGAAATGTTATGAATAATTGTATGCAACAAATTAGACACCTTTGATGAAATGGACAAATTCCTTAGACACAATTACTGAAACTGACTCAATATGAAATAGATAATATGAATAGGCCTAGAATGAGTGAAGAGATTGATATATTAATATTACTACTAATACATTATTCACAAATAAAAAAACCCAGGCCCAAATGGCTTCACTACTGCTGAGTTCTACCAAATATTTAAAGAAGAATTAATACCAATTCTTAACAAACTCCTCTAAAAATAGAAAAGTAAGGTAGGTAACACTGGTCTCTTCTTATGAAGCCAGTGTTTCCTTGGTACCAAAACCATAGATATCAGAAGAAATAAAAACTACAGACCAATATTTCTTATGAATATGAATTCAAAAATTCTTCACAAAATAATGGCAAACTATTTCAGCTATATGTAAAAGGATTATACACCACAGACAAGCGGGATTTATCCGAGGAAGGCAAATTTCACTCAATATCTGAAATTGAATTCATGTAAAACATAAACAGAATAAAAAGCAAAAATCACATGATCATTTCAATAGGCTCAAAAACCCATTTGACAAAATCCAATATCCTTTCATGATAAAAACACTCAACAGACTAGCAACGAAGGGGAACTCCCTCAACCTGATAAAGGACAATTATGAAAAATCCATACCTAACATCATGTGTACTGGTGAAATATTAGATGCTTCCTCTCTAAGATCAGGAGCAAGACAAGGATGTCTGCTGTCAACACCTCTATTTAACATTATACAGGGAGTTCCACCCAGTACAATTAGACAAGAAAAAGAAATACAAGGCATCCGGATTTGAAAAGAACATTAAAACTATCTCTATTCATAGATGATATCACCTTGTATATAGAAAATCCTAAGGAATCCACTAAAAACCATTTAGAACTAGTAAATTCAGTAAGAATTAATATATAAAAATCAATTATATTTGGTGAGCTGATTCTAAAATTCAAATACTTGCAATTAAACATTTAAAAATTAAATTAAGAAAACAATTCTACTTATAATAGCATCAAAAAGGATAAAATAAATAGAAATAAATTTAAAGAACTGCAAAACTTATACTGTGAAAATTATAAAATATTACTGAAAGACATTTAAAAAGATCTAAATACTAGGAAAGCCATCCCAGGTTCATGGACTGGAAAGCTTAACATTGTTAAGATGGTAATGCTCCCACACTGTTTTCAGATTCAATGCAATCCCCAATGGAATCTCAGCATATTTCTTTATAGAAATTGGCAAGCCAATTCTAAAATTCAAATGGGATTGCAAGAGAGCAAGAATAACCAAAACAATCTTGAAAAGAAGAACAATGGAACAATGTAGCAGGATTCAAACATCTTGATTTCAAAACTTACTACACAACAATGGTAATTAAGACAGTGTGGTATTGGCACAAAAATATATGCATAAATCAGTGGAACAGGATTGAGAGTCTAGACGTAAACTCACATATCTACAGTCAGCTGATTTTTGACAAGGGTGTCAAGACCATTCAATGAGAAAAGAATAGGCTTTTCAACAAATGGTGCTGGGACAAGTGAAAATCCATAAGCAAAAGAATGATGTTAGACCTTTATCTAATACTATATACAAAAATTAACTCAAAATGGACCAAAGACCTAAATGTAAGAGCTAAAATTAGAAAAATCTTGGAAGAAAACTCATGGGCAAACTTTCATGACCTTTGACATGAAAGTTTTTGACAAAGGATTCTTAGATATAGCACCAAAAGCATAGGCAACAAAAAAGTTGGTAAGTTGGATTTCAACAAAATTCAAAATTGTTGTGCTTCAAAGAACACCATCAATAAAGTGAAAACACACTACATAGGAGAAAACATCTGCAAAGCATATGGCTGATAAGAGCCTTGCCTCCAGAATAAGTAATAAACTCTTACATCTCAGTGAAAAGACAAATATTCCAATAAAAAGTGGGCAAAAGCCTTGAAAAGGCATTTGTCCAAGGAAGATACACAAATGGCCAATAAGCACAGGAAAAGATACTCTGTGTCATCAGTCACCAGAGAAATGCAAATCAAAACCACAAGATATCACTTTACACTTA